ACACAGACACAGACACAGACACTAATCGTTACTTGATTTTAATCCGTGCGATTAGTTAACCAGGCTAGACTTGAGTTCTCACAAGATACACCGACCATAATAATAATAATAATAATAAGTTATAATAGACATGCAAAAATCAACAGTATTAGAAACATGCCGGATAGTAAGGAAAGTAATGCATTGAACAAGTCCACAAGTAATAAGTTTTGCGAAAGCCCTTATTACATTATCCACGACAAGTGAGGAAAAAATTTATAAAAAAAATAATAATAATAATAATATTCCAAAATTTGCTTATATACATCCCTTCACTCACCTAAATATTACTCTCGCCAAGAAAGATTGCCGGTCACAGCCCTTATGTCGATCTACAATTTATGTTTTTCTTAAGATGCGAGCGACTTCCGGAATAAGGATCGTCCCAATGTTGATAGTTGATAGTTGATACTATACCGAAAGTCGCTCAGATCTAAAGAGACTACCGGTATTTTTTCCCGATCATACCATTAATATTATTAGGAGGAAATAAGCTCTCGATATTTATGTTTGCATAATGACTTTTTAACTTTACGTTTACGATTACGTTAATGAATGTTGTCTACAGTACAGTGTGGAAAAGTGAAATACTATAAATAGTATAAATTCATTATTTCGTCTACTGTACTGTTGTGTAAAATACGTCATGCGGACGTTTTCTTTGGCATCAGCACCTTTAAAAACAATGGATCACCCTGTATGATAGGGGGTTTAGATTGAAATTTATATTGTTTAATTTTGTTCAAATAATCACTTTGTTTATTTTGATTTGTATTTGAAAAAGTTTGAGTTATGCGTTAAAAATTAAAATTACTGTTGTGTAAAGCTAGTTAAATTGTAGATAAGCAGATGTTTTGTTCGCCTTAAGAAAACACAGGTGTTTAATTTATTCAAGGACACGAAGTTTTTTGTAAAGCGGGGAAGCAAAGGAATGGAAGAGAAGAATGTTTTAAATAGACGAAGCAGACGGGGAACGAGGCTTTTTGGTCTAATTTTTTGGTTTGGTAGGCATTTAGTGTAGACAGTCAGTTTAATTGAAAAGTTGCAATAGCAGAAAGTTAGCTGTCTGCTCTACGGGAATTTAGACGTGATAAAAAAGTGAAAATTCTCTTTTGAGTTAAGTTCAGTGGTGCATTGTATCACGTATTCTAAGAAGCTTGTGTGTTTTGTCGTTCACGCCGTTATCGCCTAAGTGAAGCCTTTCTTTAAGGTTTTCAAAGTACCTTTTAAAGTGAAATTTTCGCTCACCAAAAAAACCACTATAACCTCCAAAATTACAGTGTGTTCCGTTTAATTCAAGTATAAAGCAAAAGTGAAGAAGTGAAGTTTCAAAAACATCTTCAATTGGGCTTTGTGTTCTTTGTGCGTCATTTATAGTGCATTGCAGACTGCAGTTGACCCGCGATATTAAAGATTATTAACTTTAATGATAAAGTGTACAGTGTCATACCGGTATCTTTCGTACTGCTACCAGGAGATTGTATCGTGTGCATAAATAAAGAATTGACGATTTTCCCCAAGTTTATTACGCCTCTCTATGTCCTAGCAATCAGATCAGAAGAATTGTAATTACTTCAGTGTGTATTTATGCCATACATAAAATGACGGACGTCCGTATCGGTAACACCCAGCAAATGTTCAAAATGCTCTCCGCGAACGTCTTGGCATGATCCGAATCTTAAATAAAAATGTATTCTATCTTTATTTAACAACTGTAGCGAATTTCGGTAATCAGATGAATTTTTATGTGAATTTTTGCGATAAATTTGTAAGCAATACATTTTTTATATAAAAAGAAGAAACCTTTCAAACGATATATCACAATTCCACACATTTAAAAAATTGAGGGTTATAACTGTCACTCGAAGGGACTTGAAGGTAGGGATCACATTTTCACGTTAGAGAATGTCAAATTAGAATTTAAATTTAACGTGTTTCCTGATTTTCTATCGATACCTACAGTACCTGAAATAAGGCATTTGGCTTTCCCACACTTTTAATCCACTTTGTACAACGTTTACTACAGTATTGATAGCAGTCTTTCTTTTTAAAATCATATTCAAAATAAAAACTTAAATTTCGGAGCATGATTCCTTTAAAATCGTGTGGTAATCCAAAGTTGTAGAAATAATAATGTTTTTTCCACGACGTCACTGAAAATAAGGTATAATTTAAACTATTTAGAGACATGAGCATGAGCAAGCAGTAACGAAGCACAAACGATTGGCTGTAATATTTCGTTAGTGCTTCTATTACCGTACTAACTTCACGCACCTATGATATAGTACCTATTACCTACACCCGTGCGTAATGAAGAAAAAATAGAACAGATCATGGAGGGAGGTTTGGAATTGCAAGTGATAATTAGCTACAACTGTCAAAGCTGTCAACAGACGTCGTTTTGGGTTTTGCTTTATTTTCGAAATTCACTGAGGTAGAAAAATAATGGTACGCAATTCGGTTGTAATTTGGGGCATCATGCGCAATTTTTCTGCTCACCTATAATCCGCACTAATATTATGGCGTAATATACTAATTTATTGACAAAAGTTGTCTTCTATACGATAACGAATAAGATCAAGGTGCTAAAAACATTTAACTATGTGTTCGGGCCATTTTCACCAAAATTAAGTAAACAGGGCATTTCAAAACAGACTTTAATAAACTCCTAAGGCGGATCTAAAAAAGCGGCAGAGCACCTTGGTTTGACCCTACGGGGTCATTGGATTTGACCCATTTTCAATAGGCTTTTTACATGTGGCATATAGGTCAACCGTCAAAAGTTTGAACCGAATTTTTTTTTTTTTTGGAACAGATATTTCAAGTCCATTTAGGTAGCCAGTGAGAAGTTAAATGGATAGTTTCCCTTAGTTTTCATATTTACCACTGCACCCCCAGTTGCCATTACTTTAAAATTATAATATGCACCCTTCATCAATATATGAATTTGATACACTTCACGTTTTCATTGTTAGTTATCTTTTGAACATACCTACAGTTATGTCAAGTATCGTCAAATAATAATGACAGAACAATAAATTGAAGGTTATACGAATTTAGTTTGCCAATTTAAAAATGTCGAAACTGACATTACATCCTTCTAAAAATCATTTTGTTTGTTGTTGTGTGTTTGCTGTTTTGCCTTTGTTATTAGAGTTACATAAAATCGAGGATAAAATAGTTGAAGCTTAAGAAAAAATTTAAAAATGCGGGTACACCTTATAGAGGAATAAACTGAAATGGATCGGGAAGCCGCGTAGAACTGCACAGTGCACAGGCATTCAAGTACGTCATGGAGTTTTAGTGCGTAAGTTTCAGTAGACGCGGGATATGTGTGTAATAAATAAATTACACTCGAGAATTTTCGACAAGTGCGCGAAATTCAGTTGTTTGGTCAATTTACTGTAAATCTTACGCCACAAAATTGACTAATGTTGTATCATGAACAAATTTACGAAGAAACGGTAGGTGGACATAACAAAAATTCACACCTGTTTCGAGAACATCGCACCCAATCTCCGCAGAAAATTAGTGGTTGGGCAGGTATTCTTGAGAAATCATATTTTTTTCACTAAAAATAAATTTAACAAGGGAATTAAATCAGAATCTATTGGAAGAAGACAAAATCATACAACCTTAGAAGAGTCAAGTGGACGAAATGAGGACAAGCTGCTAGAAGAAAAACAATTTGCACTTCCAGCAAGATGGAGTTCTGAAACATTATGTTCTGGCCCTTAGGCAGTGGTTCAATTAAATGTATCCCGAGTATATTTGGCAGAGTAGGGGCCATAGAATGGACACCACAATCCCACAACCTAACTCCGCTTGATTTCTTTCTCTGGGGACATTTGCAAACGGTAATGTATCAGACTCTGACCAGACAATATTCAAGAGCTAAGGCGCACTAGTGGAAACCATTTTGAACATTTCATAAAATAAATTTATACACTCAAGATGTGAAATGCATAAAGTTCATTTATTTTGTATTTGGGCCAACCAAATTTGACTTTTTAGTGACTTTTTGTATATTGCTGTAGAGAATTTTATGGACTTTAGAAGGAGGCGACGAGAGGGGGGTACATATTCTAAGTGGTGGTAGCTGGGGGTACCGGGATGAATGCAAAAACTAAGGAAACCTTCCATTAAAGTACCCTCTAGCTATATAAATGGATTACCGTAATAAATGCAAAACCTAGGTAAACCTTTCATTAAACTTCCCCTAAGCCACAGTTTATTTTTTAACCAGGAAGACAGATTTAAAAGTTCCCAGCAAAAATCTTAGTTTTTATTCGCTGGCGCTGCGTCCGTTTTACACCCAGGTAAAATTGCTATTGAAATGATTGATTGAAGCTACACCAAGTTTGGTCGCGATTCGCGTCCTTACTGATGTACTTATTTTGTTGCCTAAATTTTCTAGTGATATTTTCAGTGTGAATCGGGCTTTTATAGGTATAAAAATGATGTGCTTTTGTAATTTTTTAAATTCAAAATTGCAAATTGCAATCGGTGATTCGGTTTGAAATGAAAGCCTTTTTGGTTATATTCAGTCAGGAAGTATTGCCGATTGCAAAACTGTTTTGCCGGTAATTTTAAAGTTAACAAACAACCAATATGTTACCTGCCACAAATTATAAATATTCTTTCACTCAAAAAACATTTACGGCAAGAAGTAAGTTCGCTTCTCCATATTGAATAATAAATAGAAATGGGGCACACAAACAATATTTGTCTAAAAGTAGGTACCTAATCATTCTTTGAGAAGTGTTGACTAATATAATGCAATTTGAGCCACTGTTTGCACAAATGTGCACCCTTCCCAAAAAAATATCCAGGCACGGCACTAAAATGGTATCTACGGACGTTCACTAAATATACTGTTACAAGTTACACATTTTGAAATACATAGGTACATACGGTATTTACAATACAACTAAATGAACTAGAAAATGAGATTAACTAACCTGATCCTTTTCAATGAATCCAATGAACGCCGTTCGCTCAATTTCTACGGGCTGCCCCGCCCGATCGTACAAAGCGATGACAAAGTGGAAGAAGTTGGATTTTCGTAGATTGCTTGGGGGTTGCTTTTCGAAGTGCGCTCTTCCTACACCAATTCTGAAATACAAGTGTCTCTATTAACACCTCTTAAACAGCCCACATCCTGTTATTGCATTTTGACCCTTCTAATCTAATTTAGCATTGCTAAGATAACGTGGTTAAGCGTTATTATTTGAAGTGTCACAACACCATCTGTACAGAAGGGTTCTCCTAAGCGGTCAATGCGAACTCTATTGTCCGACTGCACCGATAGTAATTGCTTACGTACCACTTCTGTACACTCTGGCAAGATAACAGAGACACGTTGGTCGAGTCAGGTGCTCAGAGATGAGACCGGCGCCGAGGGCGAATCGTATGATAGCAAATGTTACTAGAACGTTAATATCCTGCGCCCATAAAATCATCCGTGCAATGATCTCCACCTTTTCTACGTATACACTGTTTTATGAGTATTTATATATTACCGCAAGTTCCAATTATATAATTTCGCTACCGCGCGGCGCCGTTTTAATACGCAAACATAAAATTTATCTCGCAAATGGTTATCCAATATTACAGAATCGTTATATAATATCAAATATACATGTATCGTTTTATTGCTGATCTCTTACAGGTAATCTATTATGCGGATCAGCCAATAATAGTAACTATAAAAAACTATTCCCGTAATAATTAATATCTCCATTAAAATTGGTTTTGGATGGAAGCTATAGCGAATGGAAATTATACTTACTCATGCATAGCTTAAAATTAAAGGTAGGTATAATGATTGGTGCGACAATAGCTGTTATAATAAACAGCTCAAATTTGACGCAAAGCAATCATAATATAAGCTTAAAGTTGAGTTTAAGATTCAAGACCATTCTCACCGTAGTAATTGTTGCCATACAGCGAGACTGCTGAAATTTTACTGTGCAAACGGTTATTATACAATAAACGGATTTCCATTTTCATTCAAAAGAAGATTTCCAAATATCTAAATAATAGTTATTTTTACGATTAAAAGGTTTTGAAGGGGTGTGATACAGTCTGTGGTGGGAGTATGCAGGTAGAGAGCAAGTCACCCCGTTTCAGTACCCATCATGGTTTGGTCAGGGAGGCTTTGATGCAGCACGGCTATTACGAAAATAACCGATCGTTGGCCGCAGAGTCGCCGAAATTTCAACATTCGTGCGCGTTCTGTCCGGTGCGAAAACAGTCAGAACACCCGAAAATGTTGAGGTAGTAAGACAAGCAGTAGAGCAAACACCAACACGATCTATTCGTAAACAATCTGTTGCATTGGGGATGTCAAATCGAAGTTTGAGAAGAATTCTTCATTTGGATTTACACTATCATTCTTACAAGATTATGTTAGCGCAGTATCGCAGATCATACACTCCGTACAGCCCTGCGCGCATGTGCCCAATAATTGCTTGCCCAGACCGCAGTCACAGCAAATACCTTCATATATATTGTTACAGCAACATTCGTAAGCGTGACCTCAGTGGCGCTGTTAATAAACAAAACTTCAGGTGCTGGGACGTACACAACCCCCAACAGCTTCAAGAAACGTCTATCCATTCCCCGAAAGTTACCGTTTGGTGTGCCGTTTGTTAAAATGGAGTAATTCGCCCGTATTTTTGGAAGTGGAAAGGTGTAATAGTTACCGTGGCGGCTGCGCGCTATGTGACTATGCTAGAAACATTCTTGTATCCTAGATTGGATGCTCGAGCCGAAGAAGAGGACCTGGGTATTCTTTGGTTCCATCAGGATGAAGGTACAGCCTACACGGCTCGAGTCCCTTATTTTTATGGTTCAGTGGTAGAGCGTTGGACTATAAATCCGGAGGTCGGGTGTTCGAACCTAGGTTGAGGTAAATTTTTCATCTGTGGCAGAGATGGGAATTACCTTAGACCAGTTTTGAGCATAGGTTTTCCTGCAGTTTTCCTAATTCGTAAGGTAAATACCGGAGTAGTATAGAATAACTTAAGACTTTCTGTAGAGGCACCTCTAAAAGGCATTATCACTCTGTAATTGGGCGCAAGCCTGTTGAAGGCCCAGAACAAGAGAGGGATAATGAATAAATGAATAAATAAATAAATTAATGCTTTGAGAGAAATGTTCTCTCAGCGTCTGGTCTTGGTATCTCTGAGGGGAGATGTTGGGTGCGGATTCGGACAGCTGGGACCGCCACTTTAGTGTGGCTGCTTTGGAGCGGAAACAGTTTGCCACTGGGGCACTTTGGCGCCAGAATTATGAATTACATTAAGTTTTTGTAACATAGATTTTTGTACCTATCTTTCGTGATAATAAAGTAACTTTTTTTCTGAAACTGCTTTAGAAACAACTACTTTCATCTAAAATGTGTAAAGAAAATGTGATTTTCCTCTCTGGGAAAGTAAAAAACAATTGCTGCGTTTTTGAACTACCCGTAGATTGCTATGTCTCAAACTTCATTATAGGTATTGCATACGACGAATTTTTCAATTATGATTGTAGTCTCAGAAGAAAATTATGTTAAAACTTCAGAAGAAAGTGTTTTTCAATTCGTGTTCAAAGTTTACATCAGCCGTCCCCTTTCTTCTGTAGTTGTACAAATAACTATCGCACAAGCACAAACTGAAAACCTGCAAAGTGCGAGGGCGGTATGATAATTGGATGGCGATAATTGGATGGCCTAACAAAAAGGGAATACAAAATTTTATTTTTATTTATTTACATATGACTATGGTAAATCAACGAGTGAGATGTTTACTGCAGTATCGTAGCAGAGGCAGGAATTTTGAGACACAATGATATAATACGTTTAGATAGAAGTCTGATGTTGCTAGGCAACTAAAATGAATCTGATAAAGCGACGACTACTAATTTTACCCATGTTTATTATTTGAATGATGGTCAGGAAGAGAAAAAAACTGTATCAAACTGAGTAAAAATCCAATATGGCGTCCATTTAAAATAAGGAAGTTGATGTCAATATCTCGGTTGGTATCCATTCTCCTATTGGTGATGTCAATATCTCGAAAACCGGCATTTTGAAAATTATGAACTGATTTATTTTCCTCAAAATAATCGTATCAGAATATCCATCAGCATCAAAAACTGCACAACTTTGGCAATTTAACCGAATCTGAAAGTAGAATAATAGCAAAGATAGCCATGTTATCCTACTCAATTTAAGACACCCTGTATAAACGTCAATTTCGTCAAGATTATCTAATAATCATCCCGCCCCGTATAGGGTGTCAAAAAAGAATTGTATACATGAAATATTCGAATAAAAAGGTGAATTCATGTTCGATTTAGAAATTTTTTATTTTATTTGTTTATTTGGTTGATGCCAATTAGGTTTGGACCACAATATCATTCAAATGTTCGCTGTAGCTTCGGAGGCAGACCTCGTTCCGTTTGTGTACATTTTTGATGACTTGGACCCCCACGGTGTTCATCGATGCAATGTTATTGTTTGGCTTACCCGCATACACCTTAGACTTCAAATAACCCCAAATCAAGTTATCCAATGGGGTCAAATCGTACGATCTTGGGGTCAGTTGAAATCACTGTTTGGTTGCGCATGTGCCGTTTTTTTTTATTCACCTGCATAGTTTATATACGTTGAAGGAATATTTACTAACACAGAAATCCGGACATTCATTATGTTCTTTGTAACAAGAATTATAAAAGAAACCTTTATTTGGGGGTTGCATAGTTACCGTGCACATGGGAGGACGGACAGACATACAAACAGGTAGACGGATAAAAATACAAAAAAATTATAAACGATAAGGATTGTTAGGTAATAATTGCGAATGACAAAGTAGCGAAAAATTAAGTGTACGATATGAGATCATAATCATTGCTTATCCGTCCGTCCGGATGTATGAGCCAACTGATCAACAATGAAAATTGAGAGCGAGATCGCTTATAGATTCCGATATTTCAAGATCTACAGAGTAGATACGTATAAAAAAGTGGAACTTAACGAGTGAGAGGCGTATGTCGGTGTAGTCAATACTACAAAACGGAATATCTCGAGAACGTATAGCCTGGGCTGGGAGAGGGGTACTAAAGAAAAAGGGAAAGTTCTAGACGAGACAGAGTTGTCTGTATTGTCAAATGTGAATAATATGAGAACAGAGGGTACCACAAATGAGAAGTGGAATGTCTGGGCGAAAGCAGTTGGTGGAGTCAAATATTTGTACCAAACATATACAGTGCGATCAATATTGAGTTGCTGCGCCGCTTCAATAAATTATGACGTTAGTAATCATTTGCCGCAACAGGCCTGGTGCACCAATACTAAAACATAACCTTAAAGTAAACTTTTGACGTTTAACCATATTTAACCTAAATCAACGATTTAACCACCTTGTAAGTTTCCAAATTATGTGGAACTACACGAATATCGAATTACTACAAAAATTGAAACGATTTTATTTCTTTTACAACTCGTTAATATCGAAGTAATTGGGTAAATTACATGCACACTATAACAACTGTTCCAAGTGCTCGCCACCATTATTAAGACAGGGATTCACTCTTTTCTTCATGTTTTCGAAGCCGGCATGTAAGTGCTGTTGCGTAATGTTTCAAACGGCAGCTTCTATACCTGCTCGGAATTCGGCAATGGTGTGTAAACGATTTCGAATACGTTGCCATCTCGTAAATTTGCATGCAATAATTTAGACGGCTTTGCAAGTCTGGACGATGAGTTCTTGTAACACGGTTACTTTAAAGGATAGAAGTACAATTTTCTCCAGGCAATAGCGTCACACGTTCCGTATGAGATGCCCGTTAGTGGGACAAATTGTCGCAGCTGCTTTTTCCGACTTTGCTCAAGACGAGCAAGAACATCTTTTACAATCTCCTTATTAGCAATCACTAAGCGGCCAGGTGACTTCCCAGAAGCAAGACTTCCTGTATGTTAAACCGCTCAAGTAGACGATGAGCATTTCGGCGTATATTGTTGTAATCCTCGTCATGGTTGACAATCGTTTATAGAAACTCCTGTATACACAACCGTATCGAGTACTCCCAAACTCCACTTTCGTCTTTAGTCCCATTACGGAAACAGG